GGCTTCTTTGTGGCACCCCACATGTACACCTTGGTTTGGTGAATACAAGCTCAGAAAGGCCTGATGAGGCAATTGAAATCCTTAGATTGAATGCCCTGTGCCCTTTTGTACTCAGAGGGAATGGGAAGGCTTTAGGAACTGGCTCTGTCACTAGGATTAATAACTGGAAAATCAATTTGTCATTTCCCTGTCATAAATTAAAAGCTTATAGGCCTTATAACATGAGTAAAATAGAGGTTAGTGGGTATTGATGGAGGTCTCAAAGCTCACTCAGCAGAGCAGATCTCTACTACACAATTTAAATTATGTCTCCTCCACAAGGAGTATCTGTCAATATTTGTATTGAAAAAACACATCCTGTGCAAGAATATTTTATCTGTTTCTACACTGCTGCTGCGATTGTTGCTGCTGAAGGAGTTCTTGAGGGAGATTGTGGTCCTGACTTGATCGGTGTGAGTGACCTTTACATTGTGCATTTGGCTGTAGATGGAGTAGGAATTAGTCATGTGCAAGCTGATGAGGTGCCAGTGAGCATGTCCCTCACTGAGCTGGTCCTGCTGAGAACAGAGAACCTCTCCCTGCTCCCTTGGCTGTGCTGGAGCAGTGAGAAAGCAACCACACCCTTCCAAAAGTGTGCCCAGCTGAGAGTAACTGGGGAGGAATGATTTGTAAGAGTCAGCAGACCAGGCGGGAAAAGGACCTTTTAAAGTCAGACACCTGTAGAACTAGAAAGGAGCAGTCTAAGAGGAAACTGCCTGCTGGTAAGATTTTTATGTTTGAAAGGAGATGTGGTTTAGACCAAATAAACCTAATCTTTTGTTGGGCAGCTGAAAAAAAGATAATCAGAGTAGTTTCTTAGCAAAAACAGGCTTTTTTAAAATCTATCTCTTAATATTAGGTTATTTTTGTTCTAAATAAGATATGTTTCTGTGGTGTGTGGTTAAACAAATGATCCAAGATGGCCCAAAAGTGAATGATCCAAAATCTGACCTGCTGCAATGTAAAAGAATACTTCCCAGTAATTACTGTGCTTTGGTGTATTACTTACAGTACTATTTTAAAGCATTTGTTTATTAGAAAACTCTAATCAGTTTAATTAAAACAGATGTGGTTGGCAGATATTTTAGTTATCTCTGCATAAATTATTGTTGTTAGGTATGTTGATAAAAAATAAATAAATTGAAACACTCACAAGACTCTAACATAATCAGACATACACAGATTCCAGTGTCTTTTTAATTGAATAGTAGCTTAATTGGCTTTTCAGTCTGTGGTTAATATTCTGTATCTTTTTACATACCAAAAGCTGAACTGATTTATATCTACAGCATTTCTTAAACAGGTTTTTATCTTATTTTGATTATAAGCATCACTTTTGTTTCTTCTTTAAAGGTGTGATGATGATGAAATAGACTTCTAATAAATTATCTGTTCTGCCTCGCTCATGCCCAGCAGTTGCAGATAAAAGAGATTGTTGGACAAAGAGTTGTTTGTTCTGTTTTGAGCTTTTTAAATTCATTATTGAAGAAGAGACTTTGCTTGCCTTTCTTTTTTTTTTTTTTTTTTTTTTTTTTTTTTTTTTTTTTTTTTTTTTTTTTTTTTTTTTTTTTTTTTTCTGTGTGCAACTTAAACTCCTGTAGAGCATTTATGATCTGTAGTGTCAATATAACTGACATAAATGCTTGTACTTGTACTCTGTGACATCTCTTTTAAAAAATCATCAGAAGTCACAAAAAATCCCCCTACTTTACTGACTAGGCACAGTATTCAAGTCCAAAATCTCTGTACCTAGTCAATTTATATTGATAGTGGGTTTAAAAAAATAACCACTGTAGGTTGTGTTAATTTTAATTGCCTTTCCTGCAGTGTTGTTATTTAGTTTAAAAAAGAGGCAGAATGGCCTTTATCCAGCTTCCAAAGGCACATGGCTACTGCTTTCTGTGCTTAACTGGGCAAAGAAACAATAAACTTGGTGTAGCCTTTAAATGTTAAGACAAAAGGGAAAAAGGAAAGAGAAACACTATTTTTTTTTATGCAGAGGTGTAAAAAGTGGCAGGTGATTTGTGGCAGCAATTCAAGTATTATGTGGGTTTTGTATTTGCAAGTGTGGCTTATGTGATCTTGTAACAGCTAACACACCAAGACCAGCTTCGCGGTGAAAAAAATTATATAATTCTTTTTTTATGAGGTATATTACATTGTCGATAGTGAAGGACATTGTGGAAGAAGGAAAGCCCTAGGGTAGGAAGTTAATGTTAGCCTTGGAAGACTGGATGCTGTTTGCATAGATTTTTCTGTGTTGCATCAGATAGTATTTCTTTGTCATCATTTCTTTGTGCTGAATAGGATAATAGCCCTGAAATTTGTGTCTGATACAGGACTATTTTAAATAAGAGCTTGTAAAAAACACTGATATTCTGGTGATGGGAGGGGATTATTGAATAATGTAAAAGTTGCAGGTGTGTTTCCACTGAATCAGAGACACTGTGGGATGTGTGAGCCAAAGAGTCTCTGTCTTTTCCAAGAAACAACCTGTAGTGAAGGACGTTCAGTGTGACCACAGCAGGCATGTTAGACCGTGCCCACTCTCTGCAGGCCTTTCATTGCAAGGGAAGGAAATGGCACTGCTGCTTGCCTTTTCTTCCTTTACTTTCCCTGCTCCAGGCAGACTTTAGCTGTCTGCAGGGGTCATAGCACTGGCTATGAGCAGTGCCTGGTATTTAATCACTTAGCCCAATTAAGCTGTACCAGTTGTAGGTCAGAGGCCTGCTGTGTTAAGGGCTCCACAACTGATTGATAGCTCTCTTTTGAGATGGGGATTCTGGCAAGTGAGAGCAAAGTGGGGAGCAGAGCTGGCCATTGTGTGCTTGTGGCACCACAATCGGACAGTCAGGGGGGCTGGAGAGGAGAATGAGAGCGCTTTTGGATATCCATGAAGGGCCCCTCTGCTTGGGTCAAGAGGGTTAGAGAGCACAAAGGCTTCTGTTCCCAGCAGCTGGGCACAAGAGGAGGGGAAGGAAGCAGCAACTGCTGGAAAGCTGAAAAAAAAAATGAGATTGATCGGGAAGAGAAGTGCACAAAGAATGAAATAGTTGATTTGAAATGATTGGTTTTGCCATGTGTGGTCCTTGGCCTAGGCTTTCCATTTGTCATTCAGTGAGTTCCGTCCAAAAAATCCTTGTATGAGCTCTGTTTCTCCCCTCCATATTTTTTTGACAGTGCCTTAAAACACACACTGCTCAAGGTGTTCCTTGTGACTAGTAAAGATAATATATGTTCTGTAAACTATAGTTCAGTGTTTGGTTGCTCTTTTGTCCATCTGGGATTAAGTGCAAAAGTTTAACAAACTCTTAACACTTCAGTTAAAAAAAAAATATTTGGTTTGGTTTTTGCTTTGTGGGCTTGTTTTTGGTGGGTTTTTTCTGTTTGTTTGTTTTTTAAGACCATCTAAGGGACTAGAAATAAGTGGTCGGAGGTTTGGATATGATATTGCAGTAGTAAACTGCATGAATATATCCACAGCTCTCCTCTGCCTAAATTGAAGTGTGCTTCATGTATCATCAGATTTATATTGGTAATTTAAGGGCCTGAGGAGAGTAAGGGCCTGTGCATTCAGATTTAAGGAAATGTGTGTAATCCTTGTTACTGCTGCTTGTGCTGTAAATGGACTCCTTATGTTACATGGTTTCCCTGGTGTTGTGAAGTATTTAAAATGCTGAGTGAATGATAAAGCACTTGGTTAAGAAAATCAAATATAAACAGGAAAAAAGACTCTGTTCCTTCCAGCATGCTGTTAAAAGGGAAATTAGCTGGGAAAAGTATAGCAAGAGGGCAACAGTATTAACCTTCAGATTAGAAAATATTTTATCACCAGGAGAATAGGCTGAACTACATAAATCTGTGCCCACAAAGAAGAAATTAAATGTTTAACAGAGAATGTAATTGAAGTTTAAAAAAATCAGTTAATTTCACTAGTGTCGGTTCAGATTATTTGTTTCACCTGCATAATACAGTACAACAGAAGGACAGTGCAGAATACTCCAAGGAGCAGCTGATTTTTTTTTCTTTGGCTTTTTCAAATGGATCTAGCCTCTTCTTCAGCTAAGTTAGTTCTAAAACCATTTCTTTCTCTTACTGAATATTGTGTTGAGTGCTGACTGTGGTGACAAAAGCAAATGTATACTGGGCATTCCAGAAAATTTAATGATCTTGACAATTAAAAGTAAAATCCTTGCAGGTTGTGTTAAGCAACATGAACTATGGTGTGATGGTAAACTGGACACTGGGAAGTGAATCACAGTTATGATGGGTTTCTTTAGAGAAACATCTCAAAAAGAGAGATCTCTGTTGGAGGCAGTTGCTGGCTGTGCTGCCTGGCGGCTGAAGTTCTGCAGCAGCAGTCAGGTTTTTGCTACTTCTGTTGTCTCAGGAAAGAGTTTCAGGCCCTGGGGGTCAGAATGTCACCTCCTGGCGTACAGTTCCTATGGCTTCCAGCACATTCCAAATGCCCAGGACAGATGACTCTCTTTGTAGAGACCTGGGCTCACTGAGGTGAAACATGGGTGTGAATCCTGTGAGGAGTCTTTGCACTCTAATGGTCCTGGTTGAATTTGAAGCAGCATCCCAGAAGAGATTGGCTTTCTGTCCCATTTCATCCATCGACTAAGCTATTTTCCTTTCAATCCAGATGATGTCTTTCTCCACTTTAGCCTGAGCTGCCCTTTGACCTGTTCTGAAGGGGAATTACTGTCTCTTGGGCATTCCTTTTGATTTGCTGTGGCCTCCAAAATGAACCTCCCTGTGCAGCTCGTTTCAGGTCCATTTTTGCCTGTTTATGGAATTCCCTATTTCTTTTTACCTCATTATGGAAAAAAATCAAGCCCTAACTTGCTGAAGTACATAATGAATGTGCATGCACATGTATGTATAGCTACCTTTGAGCACAGAAGACACTGGATTTAATTAATCTGGCATGTTTTGTGTCCATTTTCTTTTTCCAGTATTTGACTGCAACTTTGAATCTCCTTGTGAGCTGGAATATTCCTTTACCTCAAAATATCAGGAAACCCCCAACAATGCCTGGGTCAGACTGAATGCAGAGGAAGTCTCACAGCTAAACCTGCCAGATGGGCCGGACAGAGATCACTCTGAGAGCACACCCAAAGGTAAGATTAATACAGCTGTGTAATGCCATCAGTAGTGGTTAGTTTTAAAATAAAAACACCCTTGCTTCCACCCTCTAAAATAACCATAACAGAAAAACCCAAAACCCTGCCTAAACAAACACGTTCCCCTGAAGTGCTGGAGACAGCTATAATCCCTTTGCATCAACAGACAGTGAGTAAAAAGAAAGTGAAAACAAAAGGGGGTTGTTCTGCACAGGAGAGATCTGTTTCCACCTAAAGGCAAGCTCCATCATATGTCTCAGAAGCAAAGTATCAAATACAGTCTTGTGTAAAATCTGAATTGGGCTGGCTCATGCCATGGCTGATATTTGGATGAAAACTGCTATGGTGCCCGTGTTTAAGGTCATTCAGTGTTTGGAAGAGTCTGGCCTTATCTTTGCTCTAAGTCCTGTTTACCGCTTGTGTGTTTGCAGACCATTTTAGGCAATATCCTTCCATCCAGGGCTTAGGTTCCCTGTTTGTTAAGAAAACAAATATGGGCTTTGTCCTTAGTATAACAAAAAAGATCCTGTCTCTAAAGAGAGCTAGGAGGTCTCAAAAGATGGGAGTGCAACAGTCTTTTTTTTTTCCTTGGAAAAAAATGTGGATTGTTGGAATTACTTTTCCTGCTTATACCTGTGAACAGCAGCATATTTTGTTAAGATTGTAAGTTCTGAAAAGATTTTTAGATATATCTGTGCTCTTCTAATCCCAGGAAAGCAGACAAATTCTTAACATCCTTTCAGCTGTTAGTGACACCTGCTTGGAACTCCTCTCTGGAAGGTGGTGTTGATGAGAATGGATCTACAAAAATGAAAATGGAGGGGGTAGAGCTACAAACTTTATCCAGGCAAACAAAGAGGTGTCAGGAATGACAACAAAAATTTTAAGGGCTGTGGAACAGTTTCCATAGTAGGAAAAACTAAACAGATGAAGATTCTCTATTCAGTCTCTGATGGCAGGGGTTAGAGGTTTTTAAAAAGCAGATTGAAGAGCGTTGGAAAGCAGCTGTGAAGTTGGTGGGCTCTGGATTTAGAACAAGTAAGCTGAGACATTTTTCATGTATTACCTGAGTAAATGGGCTAATAAAATACATGAATTAATGTGGGGCCAGAAGTGTGTGTAAGTTTAAAGAAAGATCAGATGAATTCTAGCAGCATACGTTTATCACTGGATGTTTAATTCAATAGTCTGTTTAGAGTCAAGAAGCCTCTTATGCAAAAGGCTGCAAATGAAAGAATTCTTTTCTTAGGAGCCAGCATTGGAGACAGAATTTGACTTTGCAGAGCTGCAGTCTGGTTGTTTGTGACAGTTCTTATGTTCAGGCAAATATTGAGGAAATTTTCTGTGCTGCTTTCATTCATATTATGTTTTCTCCTCCATACCAATAGTATAGTACTTTTCCCTAGATAGCCATTATAAATTAACTTTTAAGGCCCATTGATTCATCAACAGACCAAGTCATTTTGGTGTGATCTGTGTGTTGTGTGTAAAGCAGATGGACCACATTTGTGCTGCATGCAAATATCTTATAATTTCCACATCAGTAAACATCCACACGCAGACTGAATTTCTTCCTACAAAGGTGCAGTTGAGGGAAAGTTTGAGGTAAATCACAATTTCTGTTTTGTTCTTCTTTTTCTTAAATTCAAGTGCAAGCTGGCTGCCACTGAAATTTAGGAGTTAAAACCTTGTTTTGAATTAAGAAGAATAGCTGTCATTTTCCTGCAATGGGGGGAAAACCCACAAGGAAGTAAATGTATTGTTCCAGGTAAAGAGCCTGGCCAGGACCCCATGGTGCTGCCTGTTGTCTATGTATAATTCTTTTGGATCATTTCCAGTAAAGTTATTCCTTTGTCTGACTCAGTTTTATATATCTATCAAAGCAGAAGAAAGGGAGGCTGTTGGCTGGCCCTGCAGCCCAAAGCCAAAGGTGGTATTGGTAGATGATTTCCAATTGCCTATTGTGTTAAAATTCTATTTCTAAGCCCAAAGGTTGAAGGTTCTCATCTGGAATATAGGAATTTAGGATGAAACTTGTGTTCTGTTTTCTTCTATTCTGAGGGGCAAGTAACCAGTGTCAAATTGATTGAGAGAATTTAGATTTGTGGGACATTAGTGTAGATTATTTTGTGTGGTTTATTTGCTTGTGTATGTGTGGGCTTGTTTTTTAAAATTACCAGGCATGTTGGACATAGTGGTAATTTTTTTCCAGTGGAGCTGTAGGTCTGCAACTCATCGATGACTGTAACTCTTGCATGTGTAAAGACTCATTTGAAAATCAACACTTGGAGCTAGCATCTCTCTATTTTAAATCACTTTAATTACAGCTGTTTGGCACAGATAGTTGTGTGGTCTGTTTCAATCTGAAATAATTCAGCACAGTAGTTCCAACCCCCACTGTTCCCTGCAAATTGTACTTGCAATTATCTCAATCTCATTTCATCTCCTTTGCAGACAGTAATGCACAGAGATAAACAGATAGCTTAACTAGATTTTGGGATGGTTTAGCTCATCCTTGTCACTTGGTTATCAAGTCATGGCAAGACATTGATAGAGACAAATGCCTCTGGTATGATTCATTAGGCTTCACATGAGTTTCTGTAAAACGTTCAGTAGAAAATCATTGGTAGATCTCCCAAAGAGACACATTGGAAGAATTTCTGCATTTTTGCTCCTGTCCCAGCAGCATGATACAGCTCAGTGTCAAGAAATCAAAAGTCAGCATGGATTAAGCCTCCTAGAGGAAGAGCTAACTCCTGGTGTCTCAACATCTGGTTGCAGTCGCAGCTGAGCAATCCACTCACTTGGCATGTTCAGCAGTAGTGTCACACAAATCATTGATCTTCTGGATAGTAATAGATGGTGAGGTGGCAGAGTTTGATACTAAATTATTCAGGGTAAAAGACTGAAGGTCTGCTTTGCAAGGAATTGAAAAGGAATGCTTAACCAGCTAATAGTGGCAGGTGAAATTTAGCGCAGGTTATTTGAATTGAGGTGGTGGGAGACACAATCAGAGCTTGGCATATATGCAGACAGATTCTGAGCTGGTTACTGTCATTTAAGCTGATTTAAGTATAAGAATAGAGCTGTGAAAACATCACCTCAGTAGCAGTCACAAAATAAATGTGATTTGAGGGCTTACTGGGAAGGGAGTGGAAAATAGGAACGGTAGGCTATACTATAAATGTGTGGGGCAGCTGTATTTGGAACTCAACCTTGTGTTCTAGATTCTCTGCATTGAAAATCTTTTAGTACAGCTGGGAAAGTTTTTAAAGAATAGAAAAAGAAAGATGATAAAGTGTGTAATGGTTGTCTTCTAGGAACACTTAAATTGACTAGGGCTATTCTGCCTGCAAGAAGCATCTAAAGGAATACATGCAGGGTTGTGTAGAAATCAGAAATTTATAAAATATGTATAAAGGTTTATAAACTCCCAAGGTAAAGCACTGAAAGGTTAACTACAGAAGGAATATTTTATATTTCTTCTAATACAGTTTTGAACAGCATCAAACAAAATTATTAGATGTCAGGCAAAACTAAAGGAGATCCCTCAGTATTTAACAAACAGTGAAACTGGGGAACATTCTTCCCAGGGTATTGTTGTTGCTGGAACCTTCTGTGGCTGTGCAAATTGACAGGATATGTGCAAGGAAGAGAAGTAGTTACAGCTACTAAATTCTCTATAGAACCTTTTCTGGCCCAGAAAGTCCTCATATGACCAGTCCCTGAAGTCCAGGAGTGGTGAGGGACAACTGTTTGCTTTTCCTGTTCATATATTCTTTTTCATTTTCTATTTCCAGCTGTCTGTTCTCAGAGCCAGATATTGAAACTTAATGGCTCTTTGGTCTGATAGGGTTGGTGTGGTGGTGTGTTTCTGGCTCACCTCCTAGCCAGGCTTAGGTTCCCTTTGAAAAAAAAATAGGAATGCGTTAACACTTAGAGCAATTTAGAGTGTCAGAGAAAAGTTGCTATTTAAACATTTACTATTATTTGCTTTTCTGTTCAAGCCTTGGGAATGCTATCAAACCATGCAAAAATATTGAGTATTTGGTAGGAATAACTGCTGGACTGTTTGCCTATAGAAATGTAGATTAGGGAGGCTATCAAGGTTTTGATTTTTTAAATTTGTGCTAAAATGCTTCACTCTCCTCTGTTCCCCCCCAGTCTTAAAAGCAGACCAATGAGTGAGAGAACCACTGATGTATCTGCCAGCTAGGTCCCTGAAGATCTGCTGGAGTTATTCCCATTTCCAAGTCTAACTTATGTAACATTCTGCAGGGTCAGAGATGTAAGGTTAAAGTTCCACTGATGTGCTAAAGGCTGACAGGAAAACCTCCACTGTTGGGATCTGAATCGGGCCTGTACGTGCTGCAATGAGTAGGCAATCCATTGTGGATTACAAGGCTTCTTTTAATTCATGAATAAGCAAAAAGAAGCTATAAAAAATTCAAGCATTCTGCATCACTGACTGCATTTGTTTATTTTGACATGTGTGATTAATTTTTAATTATTCATGACCCTTCATAATATATTATACCAGCAAATGCACTGCAGTCTATCGTAATGAAACATGAGGAACTGGAGATCTTGTAACTGTGGCAGTATTTCCTAAGGAGGCAGGTGAGACAACCCAGTCTGTGGTTAGAAGGAAGGGGTTTGTAGACCAAGGAAGCTGCACTTTCAGCTGGGTGGATGGGTGTTTTTGTTGTGCTCAAGAGTCATTTGCCTCTCTGATAAATCTGAAATGGGTCAAACAGCCATAAATTCTATGCCACTCAACTCTTGAGTCAAACCCAGAGTTTTCTGTACTTTGGCGGCCTCTAGGATACAGCACTGAATTTGGCATCCATCAGGGATGGTTTAAGATCCATCAGCAAGTGGGACTGTTCAGAATTCACCTCTCCTGTTACCTTATTGCAGTGCTGTATTTTCCTTCCTCTTGAGAAGCACTGGCTCAGCTTCCTGCAGTGCTGTGTAACCCAGGGACTTTGGCAGGC